CACATATCATTGTTGCTTTTCTGTTTCAAGCAGGGTTAGGATGCAGCCATTGTTATAAATTCAGTATTACGATTTACAAATCAAGCAGGCTTAGGATGCAGCTATTGCTTACCTAGAGAGACATGAACTGAAACACACACACAAGAATACACAATGGGTTCCAACAACAATAGTTGCCGAGGACAAACTGATTAGACACTCATCTAGAAAAATATGGACCTGAAGTTCTTTAATCAGATTCTCCATTGTCTGGACACTGATGTATTGATCATGTAAGAGTTTGTTTGAAGCAGTCTGAGGAGCGAGGAATGCTTTAACATAGGCATTCTCATCTGCTGAATTGGCATATTTTTGCAGTGGAGGTGGCAACAAAAAACCACGTCCCCGTAACACGGAAGCTTGGGTATTTATAGATGTTCCAGGATTTAAATGCTGTGGCTGTCTAACAACAAGAACATTGTTCACAGGACCTGCACAATGTGAACCAAGATATAATTAGTTAATAATTTTTCATTTCTCAATAAATAAGGTCACATTAATTAAGATGATTAGATGCAACATCATATATATTACTCCCTCCATTCCATAAAGATAGATTTGCTTCCATTTTCACATAGATTAAGAAAATGTTATTAATATAGTTGAAAATATAAATTTTACTTACATTTTTCCTAATGCGCCCCTACATTAAATAATGAATTAAATAGGAGTAGTTCATATTTGTTGATAACAATGCACATTAACTATGGTCATATTAAAAACTAAGAAATCAATTATACTCTCAACAAGGAAAGTTGCTTATAATTTGTGATGTGCGAAAAAGGAAAGCAATCCTATTTTTATGGGAGAGAGGGAGTAGTTGAAATCAGAAACAAATAAACAAAAATATGTGATGAACACGAACTAGATCACGAAACTTGTGACGCACAAAGTTTCCAATGAAAATCGTGTTACATATAGCTCAGATAATCAATATACGATCACCAACTCATCACATGACACCCACTTATTACGTGGCTTCATCTAATTAACTATTACATTAGAAGATTACCGTCCTTCCTCTCCTTACATTAATGCGCAGGGAAGCTGCTAGAGGTGTAAGAGGTGTCAATAACAATTGCCCAGTTTAAATACAGGAACCAATTTCAAAATTGCCATAAGATAAAAATCACATCTGTCATTACCATGGTAATTACAAAACAATAATAAAATGTGCATGTAGTCAAACTTGGACATTTCCACATCAGATAGATAATATAATTCTCTATTTAGCCATGGGGTAGACTGCAGAGGGTTTTATGAGTTTCTCCTCAAGGATTTGCATTGATGGTAACATAGAAACTGAGATGATAGTGAATTAGACTATCTGCCCAACTCAGTTATGACCTGTTTCTCTAGGTGGAAGAACACTGCTACATGGACAGTTGTAGCTTGATAGTGTTATATATAGAATGTCACGTTCCTTACGTTCGTCCAAGTTCCATGTCCAAACCACCCACATGCATGTTAATGAACCCTGACATGGACTTTCTATGACTATTAGACGATCATGTGCATACATACCATCAAGAATAACACTTCCCTACCATTGGCAACAAAAGACAACTTGAATTCTGCTCCAGCATACACAATAAAAAATTCACAACTTCATTGCAATAACATTGAAGCCAAAAGAGATGTACAAATAAAATTGCCTTCAGATCCTAACATAAAAAACTGTAAATAAACATGTTGATGTCAAATGAACAATGTTTATCATAATTACATGTCTTTGACGATACACAAATCATAAAATAGAAAGCTACAGAAATGTATGTTAATACAAAAATAAAAAAATAAAAAATTCTCAAAAGAGGCAATTTGTGTTAAGTCCAATGACCTAAATATATTAGCTGTAATTTATGGTACCTTTGGCATGTCTAAAGACACGAGTAATGTTGCGGCTTTTAGTGTTCCAAACTCGAATCATGCCATCCTCAGATCCAGAAACCAATAAAGATCCATCAGCACTAGAAGCTAAGCAGGTAATAGCCTTACTGTTACACAGATAGGAAATTCATTCAAGACAAGTGCGAAACAGAAGAGAAAGGCAGAAAGGCCAAACACACAAATTGCTTCAAATCAGACAAAAGGTAAACTTTAAAGTCATGAATAAATTTTCTTTTGCTTTTCAAATGATATGCGTCTATGAAAAATTTGGAAGGGTATTGCACATAAATATTAGAAGGAAAATGTACATTACGTCCTATCAAATGATTAATATTCAAATCATAAATTCTCTCTCTAAGCACTACCTTGTAAACAATAATGATCATTTGGAGCAAAGCAGAAGAAATATCAAAATTAAAACTATAGGAAAGAATTTAAAGTAGGTAGTGAACAAAAGAAAAGAGAATAAAACTACAAATTTTTACTTTCATATTGTTCGAAAGTTGAAGCATGAATATATTAGGAATCTGACAAACCTGTGTTCAGATAATGAACCAATGATATGTAACCCGTAACTACTGTTGGAGGTTCCTGGAGCATTTAACGCAGCAATGAATATCTTACCATCTCTTCCACCAGCATAAAAAACATGCTCCCCAGGGTCCAATGTTATCGCATCAATTATTGAGGGGAAGACAATGTTTCTCAAAAGTTTTCCGTTAGATAAGCTCCATACCTGGGTAAGTCCATAAATTATTAGAAGTGATAACCTGAAAGCCTGAATTAAACATCATGAGATGGTAAAGCCATTAACTCAGAAAACCATAGTACATGAGGTAAGATCACGCTCTTAGAAGATTTCAAAACTCTAGCAATTGACAATAAGCATCTCTGGTACTAAGGGGTCAGTTTAGATTAAAGATAAAAATTGTACAATTTAGAAGAGAATTAGTTTACAAACAACAGAAAAAGTGGAACTATCAACATCTAGAAATAAATATATGCTAATAGTCTTCTTCAAAGGGATGAGTCCTTCATGTAAAAATAGCGTTATCAGTACTAATTGTAGCTAGTAAAATACTTTAATTAAGGTATCAACCAGTTGAATGAATAGTATGCTGCACCTTGCAAGTTCTATCCTCAGAAGCAGATAAAATGATTGCATTACATCCATGGCCAATCTTAACGTCAGTCACTTTCAAAGTATGCTCGTGGAAACTATACTCGTAGGGATGCTTTTCTCCCTCCCTATTTGCACCACCAAAAATCCTAAAATAACATAATAATTTCAACTAAGCATCTACTAAATGAGATATTATGACAGACATAAAAACAGTAAGAATTATCACATACATGTAAAGGGACCAAACTCGAACGCATCCATCCTCTGACCCTGAAATCAAAAGGGACTGGTCGTCATTAAATACCAAGCAAGTAACTCCCCTGTAATGTGCATGCCACTTCTTAAGCAAATTCCCAGTAGCAGCCTACATGCATGAAATATATTTAAAGAAAATGCATCAATTAGGACAATCACTACTACAATCAGAAAGTAACAAATCAG